GAATTCTAAAAGGTATGCGGTAGGTTTTAACTCAACCTAAATGTGTCCCTAGTGAATGCTCAAACGAGGCGAATTGCCGTAGCCTGATGGTAACTGAAACGGTTGGCATCATTGCTCGTAGTCAGAATTCGTTCGAGATGGATCGCTATTGTCGGTACAACCTTTTCTACCAGCTGGATATCTGAAAGGTTGGAAAGGTTGTGCTAAATGCCGAATCGTAAGATCGTCGACGTCGTTCGATCTGGTTGAGAGTCGAGAACCAGGGGACAGAATCGGACGAAAAATCTGCTGGAAGGGCGTCAGATGTCGAGGCCGACGAAAATCAAGAGATGTGGCCAAGTAAGTTACAAAAAAGAGACGCGATGGATTAGGCCAGGGTGAGAAAGGAGGGAGATTTATACTAATACAAGTGGAAGGATTGTCGCGAAACGATTTGTAGACGGCAGGTGGCGATAGGAATCGAAGATCATCTCCCAGAGGTTAGCGGCGTCCGGAGATTTGGCGTCATCCGGAGATGATTGTAGCCAGTGACGAAACGTGGTTGAGTTAAGCGAAAGTTGGAGAACGAAGACAGACTGATAAAGGCGAGCGCATAGGGTGAAAGCTAGGTTGAGCGATGGGACAGAAACAGGACGGAGAATCGGGCAACGTAGAAGAATAAAGGTGGCACGTTAAGATTGGAATAACCGCGCCATTTAAGTCGTACTAGAAAAACGCCAAATCCCAGGTCGTAGAAGGTCCATAAGAATTCAAAGACGAGAACTCAGGCGTGACAAAACGGAAGCAACTTATATGACTAGACTGGGTTGTTCTGGTTGCGGTAAAGAGAAATGGGGATTGATTAACAAACGGCACATATTTTAAGTGTCGTTGGTGATGATCTAGCTTGCTGTTTCGTTATTGCTTTTCATGGGCTACGTGCGATAATTGCCTAAGTCAACGCCTTGCCTACTGCTCAATTTGAGTACGTCACGAATGTGTAAACTGTAATGAGTTATCAACCTTAAATTTACAAGCTTCTTTTTAACAGGCGTTCGTTGACTCTGAAACACACGTTTACCTCAATATCTCAAATGCACGGTCGTTCGAACTACATTTGATGTATTCGATCCACACAATGGAATCAAAATTTCAAAACACCAGATGATAATCATACTGCATTGTCATCTGTAATCATGCAGTCTTCTTGATTTATCCACATCGACGAAGCAGGAATAGGAAATCTGGATTTAAAAAAAAATTGACTGAGAATGGGGCAATACGACTTAAGCGTTAACTTTTCGACAACTTAAGGACGTTTTTGGATAAGACAGCGGAAGGAAGTAAAGAGAAATTACTCGATCTTCTCGTGTAGTAGAGCCATTGCTTAGTGATTAATTCTCCTTGCATTCATGAGGTATCTACACGGTCAATTAATAAGCATTCATTTTACGAACCAAAAAATGTGAATGTGGATTCTGAAAAACAGACGTCCATTTTCGGGCATAAACGAGGCATACACCCGATTAACAGGAATTTTTTAAACTCTGAGTGAATACAGTGCAGCATTCATCTGGTTATTCTTGATTTATCCATTGTTTTAATTCTGATCATCGACGAGCGCCACTAATAAACCGCTCACTAGACGTGCAAAACACAGGTCCCTAGCTCAACATGCGTACATTTATTGTCGTGTCGTCTATTTTTGGAATAACACTAATGCACTATTAAACTTTAGCCTCAAAGTTTTGTAGACAGTTATTGGTCACGAGGTTACCCTAGACTATAAACGACTGTAAGGTTACAACGGAGAACTCGATTATTGAAAGTCACTGCCTGAAGTTGGAGATCACAAAGACACGCCGGCTAGAAAATTTAAAACTCTTAGACCTCGAAAAGCAGCAATGTTAAAGACCTGAAACGATTTAATTAGTTTATAATCGATATTCAAAGTCGCGTTTAACCTGATAAATTTGCCAGATACTGAGATTTAAAGATTCAATGGTGATGCAAAAGTATATCACGCGTGTCATGCACGATTTGTGCGAGGAACAACGACAGAGCAACTCATTCAACGATCTTAGTGCGGATCTTGCGAAAGAAAGGCTCTTGACTGCACAAACTGTGATGTACACAGGGGCGGAATAAATTTTGCGGAAAAAAGTCTGGAACGAAACATTAAGCTGACGATACCCCAGTTTTGGTCCATTTAAGCCTTCAAACGCAAGTCTGTGAAGCTATTCAAACCCAATTCCAGCAGCCACTAGAACCCAATGGAATTCGTACAAGAGGGTGGTGACATCGTCAATTTCAGGTTTGGTGAGATTGACATCAACAGAATGAACCAGTGAGCTAGCCATCAATGGAAAGCGCACGCGTGGAACACCAGCAATATGGACCAATGTGGTTACAAATTTCCTTTCTTACAACATGGAGGAAATGTTGTTGATGCTTCTCTAGCTAAAGCGCGGTAGGCGGTGTTTAAGGGCCAGTCCTGTTGCTCTGGACTGCCAATCGTTGTCCAGCTCTGCCATTTGTAGATGCACCCTACCACATTGCCATTGATGTGCCAAATCAGATATCTTGAATAATCATCTTTACGGGTATGTTCTATCATCAAGACTGACCATCGAGAGCATGGAAACAGCAGAAGTAGGTTTCAAATCTGAGCCCATGGGAAATGTGGATTGCGGTTGTAGTTATGTGAAGGGTTGGCCAAGGAAGGAGAGTCTGGTATTTCTAAAAAGCTTTACATCGATTCAAACTTATTTCGAATGGCAACAGTCACCCAAACGACCTGTCGGCTGGTACACAAAGAGCGTTCAAGGAAACAGCATCCTGAACCCGGAAACATAAATGCAACGACGGATAAAATAAAATGCTAACGTAGAAGATAAGTGATTTGCCTATTTAATTGGTTTTTGAATCTACGCTCACAGGTCCTGTGTAATTAGACCTTATCCACTTTCTTTGGTTACTAGCCCTAAAATTTGCCACAGGATAGCCAAAATTACCTTGTATCCATTGTGTTAATTCAGGTTCGCGATGGGAGTAACCAATTATTTGAGAACAGGGCACGTTAAGTGCACATACCCTAAAAATGATAAAAAAGCTTTCACGTTTAAGGTTAAATTGTGTTTACTGAATAGTGAAGAACATGTTTGGTCAAAAAAATCATCGAAAGCAGATTCAAAAACTCGAAGGATTGGCTAGAACATACCCAAGTGTACTTTTTACCACAATTTGAAGCTGGATGCCAGGGTAGAAATTTTATCTTCTCCTGAGTTTGCTCTAACAAATTGGTTACCACAGAAAAATGCGCATAAGTTTGAATATTTTGAAATCATTGAGATCTTTCATATTCTACTTTGAACAAATAGCATATTCGACGAAAGGCCCAAAGTTTCTTAATATTCCTTGTTAAAATCGGCGTGCATATTTGGACAAACGCATACATAAATAACAGCGATAAAATTTAGAAATGCTTGAGAAACAGTTGAATTTCCAATAAATTCAGACAATTTTACAATTTACTGTCTACATTACAAAATCATAAGTTAAGGGCACAAACCACAAAATGCAATAAAAGTAGTAAAATAGTAATACTATTCTACTTTGCATGGGTCATCATAATTCATTCGTGTAAAAAATCGTATTTTATTGTGAGTAAATAGTACTTATGTAATTTCACAATCCTTTGAACCATAAACCATAAAGAGGCGTTGGATTCTGACTTGATTAAAAATTATTTTTTAGTCTTACAGTAATGCATGCATAGAGACGTTAACTGCTGTTGTATAAATAATTGGCATTGGACCAGCCTTGAGCAAATTAAGCGTTACCTCTTACAAGACGGCTACTATGAAACGATCATCTTTAGAGTGGTATTATATTAAAATGACCTAAGTTTTGTAAAATTTCGGAATATAAAAGATTATTACTAATAAAAAACGTAACCAAAGCTGGTTTACTATGTTAAAAATGTACTAACGACATACAGTATGGTTTACTAAGAATTTTTCAGATCATCAAAACGAGTTCCAATATTGTGTTTAAAAGGATTTCAAATAGTGCGCGTGGTTTAGTTTCAGGGCGCTGAGATCGAGTCGATTTTTTGTATGCAGACTTGACTGATTCTTTATAACGTAATTTGGCTGCGATTTCTATGCATAGCTTTTTGATAATAGGTTAAGGCGTAACTTCTTGCAATTAGTATATGCATGGATTTAATATTTTGGCTTGACATTGCTGAGATTATTTGATATTCTCCAACAATATTAGTTAACAACAGAATTTCTAAACAGGCTAAGACAACTTTGGTCGACTCAAAATGGTACATATAACACGACAGTTGTAAATTGATTTTATTACCATGCCAAAAAATAGGCTCATTTGTGTAATGTGTTGTGCTAATTGTATTTGCGAAAATCAAATATAAATTGGAGTAAACATGCATAATTAAAGCACATGACGCGATTATGTGCAAATGATATATGTATGCATGTGTACTGCTTTTGATTCACTGAAGCAACCAAACTTACTATAGAGCTATTGAATGTGTCGACACATTATGTTGCATTGGCTAAGTATTCGTAAATCAAGCTTTCAATAGCCATTGTAAAGCTGTAACTTTATAATCCTTTGGTAAGCCTTGTAGCCTGTTGTACTTTTTGTAAGTCTGAAGTCGTTTACACGTATGGATTTCAGTTTGCGCTGAAATCTCATAGCATATTTACGCATATCTTAGACAAATGTGACGTTCCATGCCCTTCTGTTAGGTTACTTCTACAAAAATGTAATATTTTCTTTCGTAATCCGTATAATAATCTAATTAATTTTTCCACATTTTTTTAAATTCTCTTAATTTTGTTGTAATCCCTTTAACTTCGACGAGCTTAAAATAATTTTTTTTTTAATTTCAGCGATGGAAAAACCCATAAAAATATTATTTATTGGCGACTCTGCTGTTGGGAAGACTAGGTTTTTCCACAATAGACCTATTTTACCCACTCAATAGCCTTATGAAGCGTTTCGCTAACCAAAAATTTGACGACACCTTATCGCCAACAATTGGTGTGGACTTTATGCCGTCCAAAATTGAAATCGATGGACGCTTATTCACTCTCTCGTTTTGGGTAAGTTTTTGGACCCTCTATTTATCGCATGCTTCCAAGGACACCGCTGGAGCTGAGGCAAATGGAATGACAGCCTTGCAACCCCTATTCTATCGAAACGCTGAAGGCGTTCTTCTAGGTTCGTTTTTCTTAGCCATTGTAAACCTCCGTTTTCTCAGTTTATGACGTCACAAATCGCGAGTCATTTGAGAATATCAAGAATTGGGATGACAACGTTAGCTACTACACAAACAATCCAGGTATAATCAAAATGCTGGTTGGAAATAAAATCGATTTGGTAAGTGGATCGTCATTTCTAGTAAGCGATTAGATGGAGCGGAATGTGCGAAAAGAGGAAGCTCGTGATTTCGCCTTACGCTCGTCCATGCTCTTTGTCGAGACCAGTGCCCTAACAAGTGAAAATGTCAACAATTGTTTCCATCAGCTTGTATCATCCGTAAGTTGCCGCCGATTTCAATTTCTTATTGGTTAATTCTTGGTACAGCAATTAAGTGTCACTGCATCAAGTAGTAGTAGTAGTAGTAGTAGCACTCAGGGGATTAGTGGTTGCACAATAAATAACAGTGTATTTTCGCTTTGCAGCTTTTCACTGTCTTTGACTCGTATCTAGTTCAGCAATCGCTGTTGTCGTGTGTTTCAAGAGCCCTTGTACTTTTACGTCACGTGTGTCGCAAGGCCATTGGTCAGTTTTCCTTCTGGTTAATTGGCTCTCTCTTCAGGGCCGTTATTGAGCATCACTTAAGTATAGACTTACCAAGCTTCACTTTAAGTTGTCGTGATATGCGAAAGACATGTTCCCTCTTAGTTTTTTCGCAAAGTGAATTACCAGAAGATTAAGGTTAAATTATCTTCATATTAGTCAAATATGCTAAAATTTATCGCGAAGCTGTGTTTTAGTCTGTATAATAGCACGGAGAGTTAATTATTTTCAATTATTTAAATATTTTCCAAACGGTGGCCCCCCATAAAACCGTAACGCATTACCGGAGAAGGGCCACGTATGTTTAAGCGCTTTTGTGAATTGAATTAAACACAGCTTTTTGTCCATTGAAATCAAAACTAGGATTTCTGCGTCAAATTGTGTTTTTGTCTAAATAAAACTAGTAAAGCGGAAATCCTGTTAAAGCGCTTACAACTTTTATTTGTTTGAATGTCAACAGGGACGTAGTTTTTTTTAAAAAAAGGGGGAAATTTGGTGCATTGGAGGCTTTGAAGCCAAGTGATGACTTCCAACCACTAAACCAGGCAATATAAATGATAATTGACGATTTTAAATGGCATCGTATGGATAACTTCCTGGAAATATTTCGTGATGCCTTTATTTAAAAATAACCGTAATATTTGCCATGTTTTTGGCGATTGCGATGTCATTTGATTGCCTTATTCTAGAGTTTAGAAAACCGCCTTCCCTGAAATCATCAGGACCTAAATCGAGGTTTTCCACTAATGGGGATTTTTCAGATTATCTTTGCTAGGTTCCCATGACCGTGACTTCAGGCTTCTTCGTCTTTAGATTGTGCAATCTCCTACCTACAAGGAAATTCGGAAACCGAGTACCGGTGACTCTGGGTTCAGCCTTTCCGCAGAACCTCGTGGAGATACGGCAACACCACCGACGGGTGGCGTTTGTGGTGGCTGTTGACGCGTCAGAGACGTGGCAAACTTGCTTTGATTTTAAAGTACTTCAAGTGTCACAACTAAAGTGTTTAGTCAGCCTTCGCTTCATTGTTGCTTATTGCACGTGGATTTAATCCCATTGTGATGATTCATCGTTGGTTACAAACGCTGCTCAGTTCTTTTTTCTACATTTTGATTTTCGGTTGTAAATGGTGGTTCATGTTGGTCTACATTTATTTCTTATGGTAATTATCAAATGTTAAGCGAAAGTGCCTGCAAATACAGCATTATAGTAGTATGGTTGCAAGACTGTTGTAGTTCTTGAGGAGATTGTGGTGGGAATGGAATGCAACTGTTTGCCTCGTACTAACTGCCACTGAAGGGGCAAAACGTGGTGAATAGCGTGTTAGGGTTTGATTTTGTGGAGTTGATTCAATCACTTTCAGTACGTTGTGTGTTGCTCATCATGAGAGTGTTGCGACGCCGTATATCCCTAACTACCCAACAAGAATAAAGTCTTCGGTAGTCCAAAGAGTTAACCGTTTATTCAAAAACTTGAAGTCGTCATCGTGAATGTCTTGTTGGCGTTTGCGTGCATATTAGCTTAGGTGAGTGAGTCGTAGGTGGGCTAACATCGAGACCTAGATGTGAGGATAATCCAGAGTAAGTGTTCGTGTGAGGATTCGCTCGCCTGGCGGTATGCTACGGAAACACGGATCCTGGGTCGGAAGTTGGAATACTCGGATCAGCGATTCAGCACAAGGTTTCACAAATATTAGTGTAGAAGTAGCAGTTTTAGAAGAAGTCACGAAAAGCGCCAGCATCTTTTGCAGTAAAGGAAAAGAATACGTGATTGCAAAGTAATGCTCACAGGCATGCAAACAGTTGGATGAATATCACTATAGCAAATAAGTCTGGTAGCACGTATAGGAGCACCAATAGGGTCAGTTTTTCCCACACGATTTTACCTGCATATTAAATGCTTTAAAAATAGGCAGATGTTAGAACATCATCAGAATGCTCTTAGCAAAGAATCTGGGACAGTCTTTCCGACTCGAACTGCTTTCTCCCTTGTTGGGACGGGTGGAAAAGTTGCATCAGTATTATCACCCAAAATAGTTAGATCAATAATTGCAAAGCAAACTTAGGCTCGTTTCATTGTCAGCAGTTCTTTACATTAATCCGAAAAAATGGATAACAATATTATTTGAGCCTAAATGAATTTCCATTTACACAAATGTCAGTTGAGAATAACTCACCTTTAACACGATAATGAAATGTAATTTTGTTGTAAAACATTGAGTAATAAGCAATAGCTACGGCCGTATCTTCCTAAAAAGTTTTTTTTTATTTCTTATCTTTTCTTGCAATTTGTTTATTCAATGGTTATTACAGGTCCCCCGATTTGAACTGCTTCGCCTGCAGCGTTTAGTTCGTTTCGCCTATTTGGCAGACTTAAAGACCTATTGCCTGTTATTCTGTACGCTTTCGACACTTTTTGGATTTTATGTTTTTGAACATTTTGCAACTAATAAAACATGTTGACTCTGTTGGTCTAGAATTACCGTTGAAGTTTTTGCTATTCTGGGTTCATATTAATTGCAGCGTTTAGATTGTCACATTTAACTGCGCTTTGCTAATTATTAATAAGTATTAGCTTGGTTATTACCGTTGTACGACATGTCATCTTTTTCTGCATAACATTGGTGTTTTAGTAATTTTTTACGTTTTTGGTATATTTTAGCTTTACGTGAGATATTTCTTGGCATTGTACTATCCACATCAGGAACCAATTGGGCGTTTAATCCAGATTTTACACAACACACCTAATCGCTATGCTCGTGCAAGTTATCTTAACACATTCATTATTTATTTCAGAGATGAGGCTTCTAAAGCCCAGCTGGGTAACTCATGGGTCAGCATCGAAGAAAGGTTTCTTTCGTAAGTGTTTGGTTTTGCTTGACGCGCGTCTCCAAAACCCCTATCAACATTCTTTTTTTGTCATCTTAGCTCGGCCAATTTACACTCTGGACATACATCCTGATGGAAAACGTCTCGCCACCGGCGGACTCACTGACGGTGGTGGTTTAATTATTCTCTGGGACATGTCCATTATCAGAGACCCTGGCAAGGAATCATCGTGCTCCCTCAAGAAGCTCTACCAAATGGATAGCCATCAGGGTACGTTTAATCTTGTACTTGCTATCCATTCGTCAGGTTGTTAGTGTTGGCTAGCCAGGTGGCGCTTTGTTATTTGTTTTCCCCTTCATTGTTTTGGTTTATTTATTCCAAGTTAATGAGAACCAGATAGTGCGCTATTTCTCTTAAATCCTCACTTTCTCACTTTCCTGCACACAAATCCGATTATCCGCTTCGTTCTTTCAGACAAAGTCGATGAAGTATTCGGTTGACATTGCTAGACGCAAAGATTCGTTTAAATTAAATATTTGCTTACAATTTTGTTTGTCCAAGTACAGCCGAGGAGCTAGTCTAAACAATCGGTCATTGTGAATGTCTAACTGTGTGACGGTTCAATTTTTTTTCTCAAATTTTCTTCAGCTTGCGTGAATTGTGTCCGCTGGTCGCCCACGGGTCGATGGCTGGCTTCAGGCGGTATGGATCGTGTCATAATGTTGTGGGTTAAAACAGTGTAAGTCCGTCTGACGTCAAACTGTCTAAGCTCTTAATCTGTACTTATTTTCGCGTTTCTGCTTTTTTTGCAGTGCCGGTGCAAGATCCAGCGCGGTATTTGGTGCTTCGGAGAAGATGAAATTCTCCGAACACTGGAGATGTGCTGCGGTTCTGAGACACCATACCGGTGGTATGCCATTTTGCATTGCTTTCCTTGCAGATTTTAACAACATAATTAGCAAAGTCAATAAATTCTACTTTTTACATAAATTGTAGGTTGATCTTTCCTTCTCCGTAAAGTTTTTCCCCAAGTTATACCATATCAGATACTTGGTTTACGCTTTTAAAACGCGGTAAACGATACCAGTAGGTGCTAATCCACCTTCTTTGTTGACAATTTTGATTGCAAACAGGAGCAAAGCAAACCACACTGCCTGCCTGGGTGCTGCGTCCTTTTTCATTAAACATTATTTTTCCCATTTTTTTAGGCGTTTTTCGTTCTGTGTACATGTAAATATTTATTTGGTCTATTTTGCTTTTTTTCTACAATTGACATCATTCGTTGCTACATCTATTTGACCCAATATTCACTAACCTTGCTTAGCATCAAGTGGTGTCCCTCTTGTACATTGAAATCTTATTCAAAACCTCTGATTTTCCCTTTTTTATCTACATGTAAAACTGAAATCTAAGCTCTTTCCCTTGCTCTAAGCCATAACCTCGTGGCTGTTCAGTATCCCAATGCTTCACAGCTGCTGCATTGGTTTAAATGTGTTTCTTTTGTAGATATTATTGACCTGTCTTGGGCCCAAGACGGCGCCAGACTCGCTTCGGCGAGTGTTGACAACTCGGTGGTAATCTGGGGCGTCTCCTCCACCACCACCAGTAGCAGCACTAGCAGTACACACCAGCCATTTCAGTGTGTTGCCGTGCTACGCGGTCACCGAGGCCCAGTGAAGGGCGTCGCGTGGGACCCCGCCGGCCGGTACCTCGCCACACAGGCCGACGACCTCGGGGTCCGCATCTGGCGAACTGCGGACTGGCAGCCAGAGAGCAAAATAACGGCGCCGTTTGCTAATGTGCGTACCAAAATGCCGTGGTGGTCACTGTCCTACCTCTCCATGCGTCAAATCAATCTCTAGGATCTGAACCTGTTTCGAAAACTCATTTAATCAACTCTAAAAATGCAACGCCAGCAATCTAGTTGTGTGGGTACCTGCCTTCGTTGTGTACAATTCAGATTAGCTGCTATCAGACGGGGAGTGCTTTGTTCGGTTTTAGGTGCTTTCGAGGTAGTCGTCAACCTTGGTATCAGACCCAAGAATCCACGTCTAGGTAAAGACAGTACGCGAACCCGTAGTCTGAGGCTGCAGGAGTAAGAGATGGCAAACTTGCCGATGTTCGGCCTCTAATTATCTTGTTGCTCCGTTTGTGTTGCCAGGCTGCGGATCAGAGCGAGGTGACTCGCCTCTCCTGGAGTCCAGACGGATCAGCCATCGCCGCGCCCCACGCCGTCAACAACAAATTCCCCACGGCCCAACTCATCACACGCAATCGGTGGCAAACTGGCCTGGATCTGGTTGGCCACGAGAAGCACGTCACTTGCGCTGTACGCCCTTCCACGCATTTACTTCCTTCTTGGGCCCATTCTAGCGGTTTAAATGGTTGATTCATCACGCCTGATCCGTTTATACGCCCTTGTTTGATCTCCTTACTCGTGAAGTAAACGTGTGAAGTGGCGCATCATTTGGCATCACCCCCTTTCTCTATTTTTTTCCCTAGAGGTACAATCCCAATCTCTTGCAGAAAGCCGACGGAAAGGGGTCATCTGTGAGTTCATTAATTCCTCTGTCGGGGCGATGTTTCGCAGACAATGACATTTAACTAAAATTCCTTAAATTTAGGGTATGGTTTGCCTCGCTCTCGGTAGCAAAGACCGTTCGGTGTCGGTTTGGGTAAGTTTGCTGGCCCTCGACGTGCTTTGTCTTTTCCTTGTTTGCAACTACAAACTCGAATTGACTTTGCTTCATTGTAGACAACTCTAAATAACCGTGCGCTGGTGGTTATACGCGATCTCTTCACAAGCTCAGTCACGGATCTAACCTGGTGCGTCTCACATGATCTGAAACTCCCAAACACACTTGCATTGCCGTTAGATCGATTCTGCGTGGTGTGCTTTTAGGACCTTGGAGTGGTAACGCATAACTGCACTCGCCTCTCTGCCACGTCTTCCCACCTCCCCCCTCCCCTATTTATTCCTCCTTGTCGTAATTGTTGTCTTTCCAATTCACTCTCAAGGAGCACAAGTGGCTGTGAATTGCTGGCGTCTTCTTTGGACGGTTCCATCTCGTACATGGCGTTCACCAAGGAGGAGCTAGGCGAGCCCATGAAGCTGGAGGAAGTCGTGAGTCACGCGTCTTATTGCACCGTAGAAGGCTGCGTTGTGGTCACTGGAAGTCAAACATTTACCCCGTAACACCGTTTTCGGTCGGCTCATTTTTATGCAGTATCAAATGTCGTGTTTGAGCCGGGGTTATACAACATTTTGTAGTGTTGTGATGGCATGCTCTTGACATGCTCTTAGGCTCCGTGTGCTTGTTTATAAACACTCTTTATATTGATCAATCGGGAGATGGTGGTTTGTTGTGGCTCTGCCAGCCAATTACCAGTTTGTTTCTTTTTGTGTGTGTTCAAACAGGCTCGGCTTCACCGGAAGCTGTTCGGCCAGAGCCTCCTGGACGGCCTCCTGCGTCCACAGCAATCGTCGGCGACGTCGAACGGGCATTCCGTGGGGGAGAATTCGGGTGAGGCCGTGGTCCTCGAGACGCCTGAGGCTCTTGCGTTGCAGCGGTCGCAGGCGGAGTTGCGGCAAAAGCTTGACGCCTCCGCCTCTCTCTCTGCCGCGCCGTCTGCCAAAACCGTCGCGAAACAGCTTCGGGTGCGTAGGGGTGGGGTTGTCATAGCATCCGTTTACCACGCTGAGGAAGCCTTACGTGTCACTTACCGTTGATATTCCAAAACTCTTGCCATCTACTCATGTTGTAGAGTTTATTAGCGTTGTTCACGCGTCAGCACTGTTAACATCGCTCGCTCGTCTAGCCATATATAAAGTTCCACTCGTCACGACATCAGAACGGTTTAGTGAGCGGTAGCAACTGATAGCTTTTCCTCCACAGAGTGTTTAACATCGCATCGTCTGCTTAGAGTAACTGTAATTCCAACACTGGCGGGTGTTTGACATCCTTGTTGGGAGACGTTGCTTTGATTGATGCCTTTTGTCTTACCCCAGCCCTCGGCTCAGACGGAAGTTAGGACAAAGGACGGACGAAGACGAATCACCCCGAGTTTCCTTGGTTCTCTGGACTGGTGAGTCTGCGCGCGATTTCCTCGATACAGCGCGTTGACTGCCACGCCGTTGATTCTTTAATGCATGAATCTGGTTTGTTAATTTGATGTTCGTTTGTGTGGTAGTTTGGACGAAGAGCCACCGCCAAGTTTGCCAGCAGTAGGTGAAGAATCTTCCAAATCTTCTGAAACAGCACTCGATATGCCTTCCAAATCCTCCCCTCCTGCTCCTCCTCCTTCGCTCCCACCGCCACCACCACCTCCCCCTCCTCCTCCGCCCGAGAAACCCCCACTAGCGGCTACCAGCACCGCCAATTTGTCGAGAGAGGATACCATGCCACCAGCCAAGGTTTGCTCATGGAATCTCGCTGCCTTTTTCATTACCTAAACCCTGGTTTTAGACGTCTGTATCATGTGTACGAGAGTATTCACCCATGTCATTCAATTGAGTCAGTTAAACACCATCCCCAAATGGCCATAGGTTGTCGTACAGAGTCTGCATTTGCGTTGACTGACACGAGCCTGTGGCGGGCTTAGTCTAGACTTTCACGGAATGTCCATTCGCGTAGGTGCAAGACGGCACAACATAGTAGCTATAGTCAGGTGGTTTTGCTATCCTGGCGTTCATTTATAATAGGGCCACACGTTTGGCAGACATTGGTCATCTAGACTCGGACTTGTAATCTCGCCCGACACGTCTGACAGTTGTTGAAGGTTGCTCTGACTTTGAATTGAACTGTAGCCGACGCTATCACCCGCCAACTCGCCACGTGAATTGAGGACCTGTTTTGAACCAAACGGTACACCTACAATGCCCTGGAGACTGTTGCATAGGCGGTTTTGTGTTGTCAGGTGTCGTCATTCCAGCTGATCGCTTGCATAATTTGCCAACAGGTCACTGTAGGCTCTTGCTAAGCCCAAGGTGTATCCCTTCTTCAGAACCTTCTTTTTCTAATTCCTAGAAGAACAACACGTTTACCAGTGACGAGCTCAAATCGTAAGTACATTGAATTAATCAATCTACAATATTGTTGGGAATTTGTGCAAGGCATTGTCATGTATTTCCCAAAACCGCTCTCTTCAGCCACGCCAAGTACGACCGACACATGCACCCGTGAGTTGATCGTGCTTCCTTTTCTATCCAAGTCGGATTTTCGCCACACTTTATAACATGAACTCACCGATTTTGCAATTGTCCGACGTGATTTCCTGGGCGTTAATAACTAAACAGGCAAGTTGTGTCACGGATACTCGAAAGGTTGATCACAAATTTAAGCTTACAGAGGTCTGGTCGTGGTCGTGAGAGGTCTTCGACGCTATGCGATCTGGTTGAGAGTCGAGAAGCAAACAGGAGTCCAAGACAACATGGTCTAGTCGAGCAAGTCCAGTCCTGAGAACAGTTAGCGATTCTAGAAACAGAACTCTCCGCGTGATCTTCAATCCCTTAGTCGTATCACTCCACTAGTATTCTATTCAATCAGCTGACTGCTTTATCAATCTCACACTTGATCACTGTTTGGTACTTGCATGTTGAAACGCCATAATTGTCTGGAGCATGGTGTCTTGCCAATGCATGTTCGTCGAGCCTTCCAGATGTACCTTGATGGTTCAATATGAAGCTGATTTCCTTTCAGACCAGTGGAGAGTAAGCAGCGGCTACCGAAGTCTTCCTCGGAGGAAACTTTGAGCACCCAGAAGAAGCGAAAGCGTGTCGAATTGACCACGATTTCGGTCGAAACGAAGACAATTGAGAAGAAGGAGAGGGAGAAGGAGAAGGAGAAGCCCAAAGAGAAGCCGCAAAAGAAACGCAAACGCTCAAAATTCCTCGCTGACAAGGAGTTTGGCGATGTCGAGTCCGCCGGTGAATCGCGTGTCGTCACCGCCTCACTCAGTCCGGCAAAGGTCGCCGATAAGCCCGCGGAGAAGCAGGGTACTGTGAATGTGTTCAATGCATCAGTGTCGTGCTTGTGCCTTTACGCTTGATTTAACTTGCAATCTCCTGGTTCCGTAGAGGGTCGAAATGCCCCATCCACCGCCTCGACCCGCGTCTTCAAGGCCGCCGCGCCGCCGCATGCCTGCGCGGTGGACCAACTGGAGCAAAGCGGCCAGCGCGCGCAATTTGTCTGCTGTCACCCCACGGAGGGACCAATCTTCGTCAGCATCGGCAACAGCGAGGGCGGAAAGGGCGCGGTGCACAAGATAACCGCCACGCGTCGCAGCGCCACCAACTCCAAAGCCTTCTGGACGTTGTCCTCCTCTGACCGCTTCACCTCCCACGCCCACACCGAGTTCGTTGTTGATATTTAACTGTGTTCACGTAGTCTTCGTGCCGTCTCGTTCCTTAAGCCAGTTCCAAACTGAACCTGGTGTAAGTCTTCTGGTCACTTCTAGTTGCTACGGGACGCCATTTATCGGCTTTTATTGCGTCACGCACATGGTCGGTTCTTGTTCATCCTCCGTGCTGTTATACGTAGCATGCAGCTGACGCCTATTAATTCATTCAAATCAACCTTACACCAAAGCAGCCCTACTATCGCACTCGACACGACTGCGACTTACTCTCTAGCCTCAGCTGTGGATCTGATTTTGCCTTGCGCTCAGATTTTTACGTGGAATCAATCAACAATGCCTCCCTTGTTTATGAAATATAGGATTCTGAGAATCGTGTTGCCTGTATTTGATGTAGTTTGTTCAGGAATTATTCGATTAACGACCGAGGGGATGGATCACATAGCATAAGCCCCTAGTCGATGTCCTCTAGAACAATATTATGTTGGCTGAAATGTGGTCACCATCAAACTACAAGTGAGATTTCTGTTTTTAGTAACTGGCTTGCAGTCGGTGACGCGTGTGGCCGTTTGAGGCTCCTGTGGAGCGTCGGTTCGCCTATCTGTCCACCCATCCTCCTCGATTCCGCACCCCAATTGCTCACCACAACGACCCTCGACTCCTCATCAGTGCGTTTGGCGGCAGTCACGTCGTCCGGCCTGCTGATCGTCTGGACTCTCCCCTCCAAAGTCATCCACACCGCCCGACCCTCCTTTGGCCAGACCCTCGGTCAAAACCTCCCCCAGACCCTCGTCGAGACCCGAATTGACACCAGCAGCAGCTCCACCTTCAGCCCCGTGATCAGTCTCGACTTCTCCTCCGACGGTGGCGGACACCCGGTGGTGCGTCTCAAGTCCGGCTCCTGTTTGCTCTACCACACGGAGCGGCGCCTGTGGATTGAGTTGTTTGACGCCAACGCCGACGAATTCAAGTGTCGCGCCGCGGCCACAATCCACCGCGGCTGTCCCTCGGGTCCGCTGGCCGCGATGCAACAATTCGGACGTCTGGAGGTGGGCACTGCGTGCGCGGTAACCGCCTCGACGCCGGCGCAGCGGCGTGCGCTGCGTGAATTTCTTGACGCGCAGGTGCAAGCCGCGGAGCTGTTCGGATCGGCTGCCGAGTTCAAGTTTTGGCTCCTGCGGTGGTTCAGACAGCTCATCGAAGAGGGTAAGACGCCGTTGGTCCTACTATGTCCTCAATACCATGTCTAAATATGACTGCAAATTGCGTGCCGCGTCCTTACCAATCAGCCGATTCCCAGTCAATTGTGTGAACGCGCTCATCTGGTGATTATACTTACGACTTTTCACACTAAATACCAGGTGGGTAACGCACGAAGGCTGTCGCAAAAGAAGCTCACAGGCTTTGAGGCAGCAACATCATCGACGGCGAATTTACGCAGGTCGTCCAGCGTTGTGAACTGTTCGTGTCCGCTAAGGCGTGCTGCTGTGTTGACTGGAACGAATAGTAGTCGGAAAGAGGGAACTTCATTGACGGTGGTCGGAAGGGAGTATGGCAGAACTTCCACTCGGCCACGCTACCACCTACCCTTCCGTGTCAACGCCGCTCCTGATATTTTCCAACAATTCGTGGACACCATCTTGGCTGGCATTCCTGGAGTGGCAGCATACCTTGACCTGCTACTCGAATAAATCCTCCAACGGATTCAAGACAACGGAATCAGGCTTCACCAAGAAAAATGCGGGTTCTTCTTGACTTCGGTCAAGTATCTGGGTTTTGTCTTTGACGCCTCTGGCCGGCATCCGGATCCTAAGAATATCCGCGTTATTCAACAAATGCCGACTCCCG